TCACCCCGTATTTCCCTCTGTACACAGACAGGTCTGCTCAGTTCTCTGTATTCCATCAAACTGGTCCTTCCACTTCTCACCCAGTGCCTCCATCCAGTAACCTGACCTTCCCCAGCACCTGATCTGCAGATAATTCTCACCGGGGACACAGAGCAGCGGCCGTATGGGACTCTCGCCCTGTGTTTTGCAGAGGATTAGAATCCCCAGCGAGCCTCATGTTTGTGTCACTGCCAACCCTGCACAGCGCCAGCACCAGAGCACCCAATCCGCACGCAGCGTTTATTCTCCTAAAATCAGTAAACGGTGGCCTCTGATTGGATGCTCCGGATTCCAGGGGCTTAACATTGAGATTTCATTAAAATGGAGAGATTTAGCTATCACCCTCACAGGCTATGTGCCTCTGCCCACCCCAGGACGCAGCTTATGCAGGAACAGAGCAGGGAGTATAAAGGTGGACCATGGGAGCTCGGTATGCAGTGTGGTAACCCAAGAATAGTGAACTCTGGCAGCTGGTAGTGAATGCTTCATTTCATGTGTTTGTGCAGCGCTGGGAATCTGGCGTGAGTGGCAGCGGCGGCGGGGGGAGTGGCAGGGATTGTCCTGGCAGGCCTGCCTGTTGTTTTGCCTGGAAGGCGTGTAGATAAGGCCGTCACCTGAGTGCTTCGACCTGTTTATTACCCTCAGCCATACATTCACCTGACAGTGCAGTGCCCCTCCCCCCCCTGCCTGCACCACTGCATACATCCAGGGTTACTATAGCTGCGGCTCCGGCCTCCATACACACAGGCTGGCACGGTGCCCGGGTGAGGTGGGGGTAGGACTGCTCCGGCCTGAGAAAGGAAAGAGGAGACGGGAGGTTTCCTGAGCAGATTTCCTACAGGAAAAAAACAGGACGCCGCTTACTACTACATTGTACTCTGCGCTGTGACCTCCTGGAAGTGTTTACCAACAACGACCAACTACAGGGTGCCGCCTCTGTGTGTAAAGTGCACCGCGCGCAGCCGGAGTATGTCTATACTACACCGCGGACATAGCCGGAGTGCCCCCTGTACCACACCGTGCATAGCCGGAGTGCCCCCCGTACTACACCGTGTACCTCCAGAGTGCCCCTATACTACACCGTGTACATCCAGAGTATCTCTATACTACACCGTGTACATCCAGACTATCTCTATACTACACCATGCACATCCAGACTATCTCTATACTACACCGTGTACATCCAGAGTATCTCTATACTGCACCGCGGACAGCCAGAGTATGTCTATACTACACCGCGGACATCCGGACTGCCCCCCGTACCACACCGTGCATAGCCGGAGTGCCCCCCGTACTACACCGTGTACCTCCAGAGTGCCCCTATACTACACCGTGTACATCCAGAGTATTTCTATACTACACCGTGTACATCCAGAGTATCTCTATACTACACCGCGTACATCCAGACTATCTCTATACTACATCATGTACAGCCGGCGTGCACTAATACTGCACCATGTACAGCCGGCGTATGTCTATACTGCACCGCGGACAGCCGGCGTATGTCTATACTGCACCGCGGACAGCCGGAGTGCCCCCCGTACCACACCGTGCACAGCCAGAGTGCTCCCCGTACTACACCGTGTACCCCCAGAGTGCCCCTATACTACACCGTGTACCTCCAGAGTACCTCTATACTACACCGTGTACATCCAGACTATATACTACACAGTGTACATCCAGAGTATCTCTATACTACACAGTGTACTTCCAGAGTACCTCTATACTACACCGTGTACATCCAGACTATGTCTATACTACACAGTGTACATCCAGACTATCTCTATACTACACCGTGTACCTCCAGAGTATCTCTATACTACACCGTGTACATCCAGAGTACCTCTATACCACACCGTGTACATCCAGACTATATACTACACAGTGTACATCCAGAGTACCTCTATACTACACAGTGTACATCCAGAGTACCTCTATACTACACAGTGTACATCCAGAGTATCTCTATACTACACAGTGTACCTCCAGAGTACCTCTATACTACACAGTGTACATCCAGAGTACCTCTATACTACACCGTGTACATCCAGACTATGTCTATACTACACAGTGTACATCCAGACTATCTCTATACTACACAGTGTACTGAGTGTTTCTATACTGCGGTTTGGGAAGCTGCACATGTGTGTACAGGCCTGGTGCCGCGGTGCGGAGCTGGGTGTACGCTTTGTTTGGGGTTGGGTGTGAGAGAGTTTATTGAGCTTTTTATGAGCTCATTGCTGCCAGGCGACTTCTTACATCTGCACCACATCACAGGGCACAATATAGAC